CAGGCCAGCGGTCACTCTTTCAAGGATGAAGATGTTCACATCCTGGACAGAGAGGAACGATGGTTTGAGAGAGGAGTAAAGGAGGCCATCTTTGTGAAAAGAAACCGTCCATCATTAAACAGGGGTGGAGGCCTCCGGGTTCAATTGTCCCCCTCTTACAATGCTGTGATTGCTACTATCACTCAGCCCTCTGTGAACAGTAAACAGCCATCAGTGTGCTAATGATCCATTGTTAGGCTGATGGTCCTTCTTGAGCATGTGATCAGTTGGTTTTGTTGTCAGCAGCAAACTGGTTGATCCACTCTGAGAAGGTGCTATTAAAGAGACTGAGCTGAAAACAGCAGCTCAGACTGAGGAAGTCTCTTGGATGAGAGACGAAACGTTTCTACATTTTTTTTTTTTTGCTTTGTTTTGTTTTTTGTTTTTTTGAATGTCCAGAGGACCAGATTGAACTTTCTTGGATTTACTTTTAAAGTTCAACCAAAATAGTTGTTATTCCATTTTTCAACATAAAATAATCTTGGTCTCAAAATCTGGCATGACAAACAGTGGCTGACATGGATTCCTTCAAGGAATGAAATTATGGAGGGTGGAATGTGACTAAATTAAATACATAATTAAATGTATCATTTAATTTTTCAATACATTATTAAATCAATAAATATACATATAAATGAATACACAATTAATTAATTAAATGCCCCATGTAATAAATATTTGTACTTTTTAATTAATGACATTAATACAAATGTATTTTTAAATAAAAAATATTGAAAATGACATTTAATTATTTAAAATCATCATTTATAAAGGTAAATTATTTATTTCACGAGACATTTAATTAGCTAATTGTTTATTTAACAATTTAATTGTATAATGTAATGATTTAATGATGTATTGAATAATTAAATGATACATTTAATTATTATGTGTTTATTTATTTAATTTTGTCACATTCCACCCTCTATATAAATGCCTGTAGTTTGCTTTCCACCAGAAACTGTAAATGTACATGAAAATAGTTCTTATAGTGTTGTTCTAGTTGAATTTGCTGTAATCAGAATCAGTCTTTATTGTCATTGAACTGAAGCACAACAGTGTCATTTCAGTACAGCCAGTCCAAAGAAACACAAACAACCAAACAACATAAACAAGGGTAGACGGGTGCCTGGGGCTGCAGCCTCATGAGAGGTGCTGCCTTTTTTATTGGATAAGGAAAGGGGAACACAAGGAAAGAAGAGGTAAAAACAAAAAATAATAATATCTCTCACACTAACAGTGTGAG